GGGGCGGGCCTTGCGGGGGGCGGGGCGGGCGCGCAGGCGCAGTCCCGCCGCAGTGGCTCGCGCAGGCGCCGGCCGCTGGCTCGCTCACTCCGCCCGCCCGGTCCCGAAAGCTTCTCCGGGGGAGGCTGGAAGACCGGCGGCGAGGGAGCCGCGTGGGAACAGCGACGAAGGCCCGGAGCGCGGAGGCGGCGGCCCCGGCCGGGACTTGGGTCTGCCAGTCTGCTCGCCTCGTGCCCTGGAAAGCCTGCCCTGGGTCCGCGCTGGCTCTGGCCGGAAGGATAGCAATCAAGGGAACAGCAATACAATGGACATCAAAGCACAAATTGCTGCAAGGTTCTTACAGTGAAAAAGGTGGACAATAATAGACTATAAATAATGAGCTTTGTGATGTTTAATTCTTGTATTTTCAGCGACAGGATGCCACCAGAAGAGTGATGACACCTGTTGAATCTCCAATGACTCCAAAATAAATCCACGTTTAAAGGTTAAAGCAAAATTTATTCCAAAGCGTTTGAAAGAAGCAGGAACAAGAGAATTGTTAAAGGGCCACAGCCCCCACCCTCCTGTAGGCCAGATTCCCCCCCCTCCCCGGCCACTCAGAGGGGCTCCTCCGGCTGCCGCTGCGCCGCTGCAAGGAGACCGGGGGAGCGTTTTCTGGGCTGCCTTCACGCTTTAAAACGGGCTGCCTCCCTGCAGCCCCTCGGCAAACCTGGGAGCCCCCGCCCCTGCCGCCCGGGGCCGTGCCTCCTTCCGGCCAGACATCAAAGCACAAATTGCTGCAAGGTTCTTACAGTGAAAAAGATGGACAATAATAGACTATAAATAATGAGCTTTATGATGTTTAATTCTTGTATTTTCAACGACAGGATGCCATCAGAAGAGTGATGACACCAAGAGAAGGACGAACCTCTCGAGTGATCGTTCATTTCGAAGAGTTTCTTTTTCAAACAGATCTCAGTTCTGTAGTTTTTCTTAATATGACCAAACCACAATCCAATTCTTACACTCAACAACTAGAGCTGAAACAGAGTTGTTGAGTGTAAGAACTGCATTGTGGTTTGGTCATATTAAGAAAAACTACAGAACTGAGATCTGTTTGAAAAAGAAACTCTTCGAAATGAACGATCACTCGAGAGGTTCGTCCTTCTCTTGGTGTCATCACTCTTCTGATGGCATCCTGTCGTTGAAAATACAAGAATTAAACATCATAAAGCTCATTATTTATAGTCTATTATTGTCCATCTTTTTCACTGTAAGAACCTTGCAGCAATTTGTGCTTTGATGTCTGGCCGGAAGGAGGCACGGCCCCGGGCGGCAGGGGCGGGGGCTCCCAGGTTTGCCGAGGGGCTGCAGGGAGGCAGCCCGTTTTAAAGCGTGAAGGCAGCCCAGAAAACGCTCCCCCGGTCTCCTTGCAGCGGCGCAGCGGCAGCCGGAGGAGCCCCTCTGAGTGGCCGGGGAGGGGGGGGAATCTGGCCTACAGGAGGGTGGGGGCTGTGGCCCTTGTGCTCCGCGTTCAGCAGATGACCCCTCTCGCATCAGTTTCCGCTCGGGCTCCACCTGAGCCGTGGCAGGGGGTCCGATGGCGCCGGCCTAGTGACTTGTCCAGTCATCCGGGATACTATTTCATTTATTCAGCCTGAGGATGTGGACAGGATCCTTGGAGATTTGAGGCCTACCACCCGCTTGTGTAACCCTTGCCTTTTCTACTTACTTAAATCTGTCAGGATTGAGCCAACTTCAGAGGACGGCGGAAAGACAGGTGGGCCTGGCGGGATCTGGTCCATGGGGTCGCAAAGAGTCGGACTCGACTGAACAACAACAACAAAAATCTGTCAGGACGGGCTGGCTGACTAGATCAAAAGTAGTTAATGCCACGGGGGGCGGGGGGTACTCCAGCCATAAAACAGGTTTGCAGTGTGTCCACTTCTAAAGATGCCTACCCTGGACCCAGGAGATCTCAGTAACTATCATCCAGTCAGAAATATTCCATTCTTGAGCAAGGTGATTGAACAGGTGGTAGCTGGACAACTGCAAGCTTCACTGGGTGGCCTGAGCTGTACAGATCCTTTGCAGTCTGGTGTTAGGCCTGGTTAGGGGACTTGAATAAACTGGTCGCCCTGGAGGAGGACCTACATTGGGAGATGGACAGAGGTAGTATGACAAGGGCTACCTTCACACATCTCCCTTATAAATAAAAGCTGAATGGTGGTGGCACTTCTCTAGAACATTCCACACGCTCCAAAATCAGTTCGCTCTCTGATCTGTCGTTCAGAGGGTCTCCCTATCCACTGGCTGCTTTGCCTGAGTCCTGCCTCCAACATTCTAAACAGTTTGCTCTTCCTCTCCCCCCACAGCCAGTCAGAACACAGAGGTTATTTGCATATGCAGCCTCATTGGCCTTTGCCTCGGAACACAGAGGTCGTTTGCATATGCGACTTGATTGGCTTTTGCCTCTAACATTCTAAACAGTTTTGCTGTTCTGAGGTAATATGTGTCCAATCTCCAGGTGAGGGCTGGAGATCACTCAGAATTACAACTGCTTTCCAGACGGCAGAGATCAGTCCCCAGGGAGAAAATGGTGGGCTCTGTATCACTCCAGATACAAAGTTGCTTGCCCACTCCAGAACCGCTGATTTCAGGAGGGGTGTTGAAAGACCTGAGTCAAACCAAGGTGACAAGAGAGGAGGTCCTAAAACTGATAGACAACTTAAAAACTGATAAATCACCAGGCCCAGATGGCATACATCCGAGAGTTCTGAAAGAACTCAAATGTGAACTTCTGGATCTCCTTACAAAAATATGTAATCTTTCCTTAAAATCTGCCTCCATTCCTGAGGATTGGAAGGTAGCAAATGTCACTCCCATCTTTAAAAAGGGTTCCAGAGGAGATCCGGGAAATTACAGGCCAATCAGTCTGACGTCGATACCGGGTAAATTGGTGGAAACCATTATTAAGGAAAGAATTAGTAGGCACATAGATGAACAAAACCTATTGAGGCAGACTCAGCACGGTTTCTGTAAGGGAAGATCTTGTCTCACTAACCTGTTAGTGTTCTTTGAGGGGGTGAACAAACATGTGGACAAGGGGGATCCAATAGATATTATTTACCTTGACTTCCAGAAAGCTTTTGATAAAGTTCCTCATCAAAGGCTCCTAAGTAAGCTCAAAAATCATGGGATAGAAGGACAAGTCCTTTTATGGATCAAAAACTGGCTAGTTCATAGAAAACAGAGAGTGAGTGTAGGTGGGCAATTTTCTCAGTGGAGGGTGGTAAGCAGTGGGGTACCGCAGGGATCAGTACTTGGTCCACTGCTTTTTAACTTGTTCATTAATGATTTGGAGATGGGAGTAAGCAGTGAAGTGGCTAAATTTGCGGATGATACAAAGTTGTTCAGGGTGGTGAAAACCAGTGAGGATTGTGAGGCACTCCAAGGGGATCTGTCAAGGATGGGCGAGTGGGCGTCAACATGGCAAATGGGGTTCAATGTGGCCAAGTGCAAGGTGATGCACATTGGAGCCAAAAATCCTAAATATAAATACACATTGATGGGGTCTGAACTGGCAGAGACTGATCAAGAGAGAGATCTTGGAGTTGTAGTGGATAACTCACTGAAAATGTCGAGACAGTGTGTGACTGCAATAAAGAAGGCCAATGCTATGCTGGGGATTATTAGGAAGGGTATTGAAAACAGATCAGCCAATATCATAATGCCCCTATATAAATCAATGGTGAGACCTCATTTGGAATACTGTGTGCAGTTCTGGTCACCACACCTTAAAAAGGATATTATAGCTTTGGAAAAAGTGCAGAAAAGGGCAACTCGAATGATAAAAGGGTTGGAACACTTTCCCTATGAGGAACGGTTAAGGCGCTTAGGGCTCTTTAGCTTGGAGAAATGATGACTGAGGGGTGACATGATTGAGGTTTATAAGATTATGCATGGGAAAGAGCAGGTAGAGAAAGAGGTACTTTTCTCCCTTTCTCACAATACAAGAACTCGTGGGCACTCCATGAAACTGCAGAGTGGTCGGGTTAGAACGGATAAAAGGAAGTACTTCTTCACCCAAAGAGTGATTAACACATGGAATTCACTGCCACAGGAAGTGGTGGGTGCTACAAGCATGGACGGCTTCAAAAGGGAATTAGATAAGCATATGGAGCAGAGGTCCATCAGTGGCTATTAGCCACAAGGTATAGATAGGGGCTCTGGGGCAAGTGATGCTCTGCCTTCTGAGCAGGCCAGGACACCCGCCCAGAGACCCTTTCTAGAGGCCGTTGTATTTATTTCCATAACGGGCCTTTTTCCTAGTTTTTAATAATGCATATTCTCAATGCACTTTAGGAATCGTTTGCATCTGAATTTTCCTGTGCAAAACAAGAAAATCCATTTGCAAATAGTTCCTAGAGTGCATTACTCCACGCGTATGAAAGCCCTGTTCATTCTTCTGCGCCTCTTCGTGGCTTTTGACCATCGTATCCCTCTGAACTACCTTTCTGGGCTGGAATTGTAAGGCACCATTTAGTGGTTTCATAAGGTGGTTCCAGGGAACAGGCTGGCTTCAGGCCTAAACATACAGCGATGTCAGCAGTAAAGGTAAGACCTGGAAAAAAATCGGGATTTCAAAAAAAATCCCAGATCCCAATACCGGATCCAGGATTTTTTGGAAATCCTGAATTTTTTCAGGTCCAATAGACCCCAACTAAAACTTTCTGGATTATTGGTGTTTTTTTTTGCATACCCCTACTGCTGCCAACCTAGCAGTTCGAAAGCAAGAAATTGCAAGTAGATAAATAGGTATCACTTTGGTGGGAAGGTAACAGCATTCCGTGCGCCTTGGTGTTTAGTCATGCCGGCCACATGACCACGGAAATTTCTTCGGACAGTGCTGGCTCTTCGGCTTTGAAACGGAGATGAGCACCGCAACCCTAGAGTCGGATTCGACTGGCTTTCGAGCAAGGGAACCTTTACCTTTTACATATAGAGGATGGAGTGAAGTTGTTTCCCGTTGCCCCAGAAGGTTGGACCAGAACCAACGGGTTGAAATTACATCAGAGGAGTTTTTGACTAAACATTAATAAGAACTTCCCAGCAGTTAGAGCAGTTCCTCAGTGGAACAGGCTTCCTCAGGAGGTGGTGGGCTCTGCTGATTCTATGAATTCAGGCAGATTGTGAGTGGGAGGGATGAGGCAGTGCTCGGCTTGTGGCCCTTTCTTATACACCCAGGGTAATGCCGATGGCTATTTTGGGGTCAGGATTCTTCCAGGCCAGATTGTCCCAGGGATTTTTTTTTATTATTTACACTTCCTCTGGGCACAGAGCGGGGGGTCACTGAATTTTCGTGCATTGTGCAAGGCGTTGAACACAATGGACTGCATTGTGCGGGGCATTAATTAAAACCCAGCATTAACCTACACATGCTCCTACTGAAAGGCACCCATCTTCCTATCCTGAGTGCTCAGTTGCTTCTGTTGACAGTAGCTGAGAGTTTGGAAAATAACCAGGTATTTCTTGGTTGCAACTGGATGCTGTTAGTTTTCAGGGGAAACTTTGTATGTTCACTACTGCAATCTGAATTTGGGTTCAGCCAAGGTGCAGGTGAAGTCAGGCAAGTTATGCTAACTAAAGTTCAACTTGGAGGTATAGTCCTGTGTGCAGAACACAAGAGAAGCCCTTTAATGGCTTACTATTAATAGTTTTTAATGCTATTTTTAATTATTTTTAATTTGTTGGCCACCTTGATCAGGTCTTTGAAAAGGGAACATAGAACTCTTCCAAATCAAGCAGAGACTGAACAGCTTCGTGAGCGACTCATTAGCAAGTGATGGAATATACGAAAGGAATCGTTCTGGCTATAAGCCCAAATTATGTTCTTGTGAATAAACAAACAAAATTACTTATATGAGCATTTTATTTTAAGAAAATTAAAATGAAATAACTATTACAAATCAGTGGAATTAAAAAGTTTCAAAATGATGCATTCAGGAAACTTGTCAAGTCTTTAATGTTTTTGTTTCTTTACTACACAAAAGGTGACTATACATCTTTCATCTTACCTTGTTCATATTAGAAAACTTGGGGGGAAATCAATTTTTCCGGCAAAGGAATACTTTAGACACACATCAATGCTTCCTAGGACAGAGAGCCAAATGAGAGCTTTGAACAAAGCTCTCAATAAATAACGAATCTTTTACTGCACCTTTTAAACAAGATGCAGACAGCATGACCAGCTAGCCCCAGCCAAATGAGAAAGGGGACCTCTAGGTAGCATTTGTAAGTTAAGAAAGGGTCAGGGTTGCAAACTTGCCCTGGATCAAGGTGTAAGGGCTGCATTCTAAAAAATTATAGCGTGTTAAATGCTACGGCAAGGCATTTTTTCAATACTCATTTCCAATATGTAAATCAAGTCTCTCCAAGAATCTTCCTTGCGGTTTTCATGGTGAATCTTCTGGTATCTCAGAGAATCTGTCTATAGACTTGAGGAGATCAGCTACGAGTTGCAGTCCTTCTGCCCCAGACAGCAGCTGCCTAGAAAAATGAGGCAGGTTATTATGAGCAAAACAGAGAGAAGCAACATGGACAAACCCTAGTGCCAAAAGCAAGGAAACGGCTACAGCTGCGATAGCAAAATGTTACATGTTATGTCCTTATACCCAACCTGCCTTTGTTTTCCTGTCTGGTTTCTTTCCAGAATGTTTTCAGGGTTGGGAACTCTGGCATGTGGTTCAGAATAAAGTATACATATATGAATATGCTTGTTGCAGCACAGAATGAAACACTAATCTTACCTTGAAGGTTTTCCCCTTCAGTTGACTGGAGGGTCTCCTTGTGAGGGCTACTCATGAATAGGGGTGTGCAAAAAAATTTTTTGGTCAAATTCGGATATATTGAACCTGATTTTTTTCGGGATTCCCGAAAAAACCCGAATACCTATACTGGTAAAGCATAGATATCCGAAATTTTTCGGAATTCCCAAAAAATTCAGGTCCATTATATTCAATGGGGCCATTGAAGTCAATAGCAAAAATCCTCTGGAAAGTTTGCAGGGGGCTGGGAGGGGGTTTGAGGTAGAGGCTCCAAATTTGGACCGTGGCTGCTCCAGCCTCTCCCCAAAAGACCCCCACAGTTTTGAGAAGATTGGACCGGGGGGTCAAATTCCAGGGGCATCCAAAGAGGGTGCCCCCAGTTCTCCATTGTTTCCTATGGGAAATTGGGGGTGGGGAAAAGGCAGGCAGCTCTCCCTGTAAGAGACTAAGTGAGGTGTGGTGGTGGTGTTTGCCAGGCCCAGCAGCAGAACCAGACCAATTCTGCCCCCCCTCACAACCTGTGCCAATGTGCCAGTCAGTGCCCAAAACCAACAGAACTTAGTTCAAACCAGAGAATCTCTGCAGCAGCAGCAGCCTACATTGACTGAGGCAGCATGTGTGCATTGCCACTAGCCAGGCCCAGCAGCAGAACCAGAGCAATCTCCCCCCCCGCCCAGGCAGGACCTGTGCAAGTGAGCAATCAGCTAGGGGTGTGCAATCCCCCACTCAGCATATTAACAGAGGCAAAGGAGGTCAGGGGAACCCAAATCAGAGTGGTTACCAACTCTCCAGGGGGCACCCAAAGACTAAGATACCCACTTCCCTGGGTTGGGGAATCATCCAGAGGGATCTCACTGTCCATCTAGGAAGGCGGTGTGAATCCAGTGAGTGGTGGCAGCAACTAAGGAAGGAAAATAGCCCCACCCCCACCGGACAGGGGCAGGCGAAAACATCCCGAGCCACAGAGCGGCTGGTTGCTCAGTCTCCCAGGGCTGAGGGTGGGTCCCCGTTCCCTACAATGCAGGACATTCACACAACTACCTCTCCCCCACACCCCCAAAGGACGCTCCTCCATGCCCAGAAGGTGGCTACTTGCCTAGCCTGGTTTGGAAATCCAAAGGTGCCCAGAGGCTGAAAAAGATTTGGGAGTTGGACCTCTCTTCAGGGGCCAGCAGCAGAACCAGTGCACGGTGGCCCCCACAACCTGTGCCAACCAGCCCTTGCAACAAATGACTCTCTCTCTGACATCTCTGCGGCCAGAGTCATGGAATCACAGAGTTGGAAAGGACCCCCAGGGTCATCTAGTCCAACCCACCACACATTCCCTAAACAGTGATTTGCCCAAAAACCATGGCTTGGTGTGAAAGCAGCCCACTTCGTCAGGTGCATGAAGTGTCACCTGTAGGTAGTAGACCAGAGAGAGAACTTAGGCCCCAGGCAGAAGAGGCCTAGTCTGTAACACCCCCCGGGGGAAAAAAACCCTCCAGAAGCCCAGAAAAAAATACAACACAACTCAACAAAAAAACTGCAGACAAGCAACAGAAAGAACCACAACAAAACTCAAAACCAAAAACGAGCCTAGACCCCAGGAAGGAGACCAGTAAACACCCCCCCAGGAGAAGCTGAAAGCCAATAAAGAAAAATCAAGCATAGAAAAAACAATTAAAATGCAAAACAAACAGGCAAAAACTAGAAGAACTCAGAACTAGAAGAACTCACTAACTCCCCCTCATAAGAAAACCCCCCCAACAAGGCAAGCCAAAGGAAAGCACACAGTAAAAAAAAAATTAAACACTGCAAAAAGAGAAACTAGAAGAACCCACCCCCCAAATAAAACCCAGAAAGAGGCCCAAGGCCCTAGAGGCCTACTCACACCACCCCCAGGCCCCAAAACACCAAAACAAAAATAATTTTTTTAAAAAACTGTGCTAATAAAGTAAACCAGGCTGATGTCTGCTCTCGATCCAAGGAGGTCCACGCAGGAGGGAGGAAAGCGGGCAGGCTGAAGGAGCAGGGCAGGGGCAGCAACAGAAGCCAGCCAGCCACACACAATCTCCTCCAAGCCAAGCCAGGCAGCTCTCTCTCATCACCAGCAACAGGAACACAGCACACAGGATCCAGGAACAGCACAGCAGCAATGGCATCAACCACCAGAGACTGTCTCCTTTTATGTTCTCCGGGCATACACAGAAGGATTTAAAAAAGAAACACCTTCTGTGATTGGCAGAGAGCAGATGCCAAAACCCTATTGGCCACCAGTACTCCTTCCCTGGGAAAGGAGCAAGCTAGTGGTTGGGCTGGCAGTGGCAACAACAGCCTTGCAAAAAGTTGCAAACTGCAATGCATTTGCAAATGCATTGCAGTGATTGGCTGTCTGAAGTTCCCTCTTTCCCCCTCCCTCCTGGAAACAGGAGCAAGAGGCAGGAAAGAGGGGGAAATGGCAGGAAAATGGGGTTTCCTGGTCCCCCAGTGGCCATTTTCGGCATTGCCAAAAAAAAGCCAAAACCTCCCCAATTTTTTCTGGGATTTTCCCCCGGAACTCAGAACAGGCTCAGGGACTGTTCGGCATCCAGAAAGCCGAAAAATCCTGAAAATAGGGGGTTTTGGGATTTTTTTCGGCTCGGAATTCCCGAATGCACACCCCTACTCTTGAACACATGAAGCTGTCTTATATTGAATCAGACCCCTGATCCATCACAGTCAGTACTGTCTACTCAGACCGGCAGCAGCTCTCCATGGTCTCAGGCAGAGGTCTTTCACATCACCTCCTACCTGAATCTTCCAAATGGAGATACCAGGGATTGAACCTGGGCCTTCTGCATGCCAAGCAGATGCTCTGCCACTGAGACCACCCACTCACTCTCATGGCTGGGCTGTGGTGAAGCTCTTGCAAAATCTTTCCCTTTGCAGCAGGATCCTAAAAACCTGTCTTGCAGCAGCATAGAAGAAACAGATGCACCACCTTCCTGATCTAAGGCCTGGTCCACGCATGCAGCACAAGAATTCTGAAGTGGCAAAATAAGCTGTACCTTTCCACACAGCAGGTGGGGATTGTTTCTGTAAACAGTTCCTGTAAAATCCAGCATTAACACTTCAGGGAGAAAGGATACAGCTTACCCCTTTACACACTGTGCTAGTTTCCCACTAAACATGCAATAATAATTGTCATGAACTTTGAAAAATGAAATCCCTTGCAAACTGAAATGGTGTGTTCCATTCGCTCTCTGCCACCTCATTCTGCTGCATGGGTTTGCTAGGACTTAGTTTCTAAGGGCTGTGCCCAAAAAGGTGCAAGATGTAGCTGGATAAATACAATCTCTCATTCTTTCTGAAGGTACACAATGGAACCTGGAGTAAGGGTTCTCTGTTCCCAATAATATCCTGGCCACAGCCAGGATGCATTGTAATATCTAAAGACACGGAATAGGAGGCCTAGGAAGCTGCCTTACAGATCTCTTACATCTGGGCATTTGCAGAAAAGACTGCAGAGGTTGCTATGCCTCCATAGAGTGGGTTGTAACCCCTGAAAGGACTGAAAGATGCTTGTGCGCCCTTGCAGTACAGGTTTTTATCTTCCTGCCAATTGTGGATTTGGAAACTACCCCATGAATGAAGGTGAAAGGACACAAAAAGGGCATTTGAGGACACACAGACTATAGCATGATGCAAATTTTAATGTCTCTGGGCATTCAATCTGTGCCATTCCTTTTCACAGAAATAATCTGTGAATCTTTTACTGATGTTCAAGCAGAATGACGGAACCACCTCTTGGTTTCCACACAAAGAGAATGAAGATGGGTGTCTGTTCATATCACCACTGAATTCCTGTGGCTGACGCAAAGTTTTGCTTACTCAGAGAATGCTGAGCTCTGATATCCTTCAGCCAAAGGCAACCTCGAAAGACAGAATCCAGAGGAATGGGTTCAATTGAATCTTTGCGGAGCACCTTGAGGATCTTCTGTAGATCCCACTGTATAGTAGGGAGGTTGACAAGGGATGCACCCTTGAGGTACTGGACATGATGTACGGAGGAAAAACCCTCCAAAATAGCAGTGGCCTGTTTTTCCGCAGGGTATTTGGACAAAGTCCTTGCTGGAAACAGCTGAAGAAACATGTCACTTTCCATTCAGAAATCCACATATTTGCATTAGAAGTGTCTTATAAATGCCTTCCATGACGCTTCATAGATCATGTCCGTCGAGGGTCTCCAGGAAGCCAGCACTGGTGACTGCTGAATATCCAAAGCTTTCCAAGACCCACCAGCCTCCAGGCAAAGAAGCAATGCCAGTCTGGACCCGAGTAAGGACATCATATGCTGTCAGAAGGATCCCTGGATGGTTGCTGTGGCTACGAGTCTTGAGAAGTATGACCTCTTGGCCAATATTACAAAATTTAGTTCCACTGTCTTCCAAGTGGCCTTGTTGAGAAACCCTTGCTGCAAAGAGAGTCACAGAGTAGTTGTTAAGCATGCCTCTGTGCCAGGGTGACTGAGTGCCTCTTTTCCCTTCTGTCTTTGACCTCAAAAGGATCTGGGAAGCTTCTTGTTGGGAGGAGAGGGGAAGAAATCCAGAACTGATTGTCTCAGATGTCTGGTGACTGCTTAGTAGAAGACCTTGGTTTAGAAACTGCTTCCCTAGATTCTGAGGATTAAACCAGCCATGTCTGGTGTTGAAATCTGCCACTGAAGTCATGAATTGAGATGGTTATGGTGTGGTGTTTGGCCAGTTCCCCAGTTGGAGGGCTTCTTGCAGAAGGGGCAGAGACCTCATTCTTCCCTGGTGGCTGCCACACACCTTTTACTGATGTTAGTTTAGATGAGGGGGTCTCATCCCTCCACCAGAAGTCTGAAGATACAGGTAAAGGCTGATGACCTAAAGTTCCAACCCAATCTCTGTTGTGGCTCAACCATTTGTCTGGTGCTAGGAGGCCAAGGCAATGAGCACCCAACATGGACTAGCTAGCTTACAGCCCCCCCACTAAGACGAGCTTTTATGCTTGCACGTTTTGACGCTTTACCATCTCCAGTCCTTTATGGTAGATTTGCAAATGTCCCCTAGCCTGAAAGGACCTGTCTATGTAGTAGCAGGAAAACAGAACTGATTACCCACATCTTGCTTAATTGTGAATTCTACAATAAAATACGGGATGTTCTAATCAGCTCCCTTTTGATCAATAGGCACAGCTGTCCAGAAGAGAGACTAGTATCTTCCTTCCATCAGATCACCGTCCTGACATCACCTTTGCAGTGGCAAGGTTCCTCTCTATTGCCATGAGGGTTAGAGAATATGAGGTTAAAGCTCTGGCAGGATGACTGTCTTTGTGTATTTAAAATCTGTGGTTCCTACGTTGTTGTTTTCTTTTTCAATCTATGCCAATAAAGGTTTGATTGATTGGCATAATTAGTCTAAACTACCCAAATGTTTTTAAAGGCAGGGAAGTCATGTGTTATATTAGCAGCTGACAGAGGAGGCCAAGGCTAATTTAAATCCTTACAACAGCTACCAAACTGCCACCATCTGACATTTTAGTGTACTTACTGAAAGTTTCAAAAAACCTACTTGATAGATGAATGAGACTTTGCTACGATAGCAAGAAGATTCTGCAAGGCAATATCCGCATTTTTTTTCATTACAGCCAGATTTGCCGAATGACTGGACTTCAAGGCTTCATTTTCCAGCTGGCAATTCTTCATTTGTCCCTTTAGGATTAAAAATGGAGGAAATCAATACGACTAAAAAGACTCTATTCTGGTACTTAATTACAACTGCGAGAATGATTTATGCACAATTTTGGAAAACAGAGAAAGTACCAGAAATTGAAGACTGGATACAAAAAGTTCTGTTCATGGCAGAAATGGATAAAATTACGAAAAAGTTGAATAACAAAGAAGATGATGTGTTTTTTCAAGAATGGAGTGACTTTAAAATATATTTGGAAAAGAACTGGGATGTGAAACAAAACTTAATATGTTTAGATCAATATTAAGTCAAATGATGTTATCTTAAGATTGTAATGATAAGAAAATGATATAATTGAGGATGTAAAGTAATGCGGAGTAGGGGGGGAAGCATTGCGGGAAGCCACTGGAGGGAGGGGAGGAAATGGGAATGGGGTAGACAATGGAATGGATGAAATGGTTTATTTCTATATGTTGAATTCCTAAGAAAATAAAATTTGTTTACCAAAAAAAAGGAAAGCGAAAGAGAAGTTGATTACATCAAAGCTCCATGCACAACTGGATGAAAAGTACAGGAAGTCTACATTCCAAAGGACACCTTTGAGTCTAGAAGCCAACAGTAATTTTGAACGTTGCTTACAGTGCAGTCCTAAGGACTTCCTACTTGGAAATCCAGTCTCCTTGAGTTCACTCAGACTTCTCTCCGTGCTCGCTCAGGACAGTGGCTTGAGTCGTTTTTGCCTTTTGAAACTTCAGGTCCCAGGGAACTAGGCCAGGCCACAGTGCAAATGCCCGCCCGTGGGACTTGTACATCGCATTTAAATGGGGATGCCAACGGTGCCTGTCAGCCATACAGCACCTTGTGTGAGTACCAAGTCCCACAGGGACTTACCCAATACCACATCTGAAGCAGGGTCCAGGATATGATCCATTGGCTACCCCCCTGCCACTGAACTTGCTACTAGTTTCCACAATCCTACGTTAGATTAGTACACCCCTGTTTTTAGAAAAGTGCAACTGCTGTGAACATCGTATTGTTTCCAGTTTCCTTGTTGAATATCCAGGCAAAAAAGTTCTCACTGTCTTCTGGTGAGATGCCAGTTTATAAGTCCCAGGACACTGAAGACATACAGAAAATCTTCCCCAGTCAACCCACAAAGCACTATAAACGGCTTGCAAGCAGTGTTCCCTCTAAGCTGTGGAGTCTTGTGAGCAAAATTTCTACTTTGTGAGCTGCTGGCATTAAAGTTATGAGCAAATGATTTGGCTACTGCATAAATTAGCTTGCTCTGGACTCATCCTCCCTGAGCTAAGACAAAAATCTGTGAGCTGGAGGCTAAAATTCTGTGAGCTAGCTCACACTAACTCAGCTTAGAGGGAACCCTGCTTGCAAGTGGGGGGTGCGGAACGGGGGGGAAGAAAACTTGGCAACTGCTTCTATAAAAAGCGCAGCTGCAGTGGCAGTTACACATAGCACTACACACAATGCAGTTGCACATGGAGAAGAGCCAGTGTATGTTGTGTTAAAGCATTGCACCAGGATCTGGGAGACCCACGTTCAGATCTCCACTCTGCCAAAGATGCTGGCTGGGTGACCTTGGGCCAGTCACTTTCTCTGAGCCTAACCTACTTCACAGGCTTGCTGTGAAAAATGCAGAGGGAGAGAAAGGTATAATCTGGGCTGCATCCCCACTGGGCAAAAAACCCCAGGGCATAATCTTAAACAATAAGCCGCTAATAGTAGTAATATCTAAAACAATACATTGGTTGAGAAATGGGAGTGCAATTGCAACTGCTATGCACCCTGAGCCAGTCTCCACAGTGACTGCTGAAGTGTCTGCAACAACCTCTGAAGCACCAGCTCCGGCACACCAGTCAGGGCTTAGCAGCTCACAGCTATTTATGGCACAGTGCTTCCTTCACCGTTGTAGCTTCTGCCCCAGCAGGAGGGGCAGAACTCATACCTGAAGTTGTGCATTTTCCCGCTTCAACTTTATGACACTATTCTCTGCCTTCACTGCCCGTTTCTGGAAAAGAAAATAGCAAGACAGTTTATTTGGCAGCTGTGAGGACTGGGCCAGATGAAATGGAACAAGCTGCAGAATGCAGCTAAGGAATGCAAGCAGTCAGGAGTAGGGATGTGTATTTAGCTCGTCCAAACCAAATGCACCCCCGAAAATGGCCCATTTGGACCCTTTTCAGGCTGCTGCAGGCCGATTTAGATTCTCTGATCTGAATCGGCTTGTTGCCGAATTGCCACCGAATTTCGGTGGCAATTCGGCCCCATTATATCCTATGGGCCATTGAAATCAATGGCGAAAACATAGGGTATATTCTGGGGGCTGGAGAAAAGGGGGTTTGAGGGAGAGGCTCCAAACTCGCAGGGTAGCTGCTGGGGCCTCTCCCCAAGATACCAACCAAGTTTGAAGAACATTGAATTAGGGGGTCCAATTCTATGGGCCCCCAAACAGGTTGCGCCTATCCCGGCCATTGTTCTCTATAGTGGGGAAAAAGTAACTTTTTCCCACCATAGAGAACAATGGAGGGGTTAGGGGCAACCTGTTTGAGGACCCTGCGAAACTGACATGCGAGTCTTACTGCCAGCCGAAATTGATTCTGCCCGATTTGGCCGAATCCGAATGGGCCAAATATTTATTTTTTTTTGCACACCCCTAGTCGAGAGCTATTCTGCCAGGGGAACCCGAGGTCTGGTGTGTTATAGTGGTTGAAGTGCAGGACTGGGATCTGGGAAATCCCCCAAATGAATTAATGGGAATTTTTATTTTACATTCAACCTACAAACAGTGCAACAATGGGATGTAAATTTTAGCCCTGGGATGTATGTTGCAGCCAAAGGTGCCTCCAGGTTGTAACTCTCCTTGTTGAGGTTGTGAATATGGGCAGCATCAGTGGCCCTTCTGGGGGCAGAAAGTCGGGATATAAATTTTGTAAAATAAAACTATGGAAATCCCTTCTCAGGAAAAATTAAAGCAAGCAGTACTGACCTAGGTGGACCAAATCCCCACGGATGCAAAGGCAACTTCGTGTGCCCATACTTGGGTGGGGGGAGGAGTGCCAACCCCCTCAGGGGAGGAGGGGTTACCACAAAAACAAGTGGAGGTGCTGGACATTTGCTTTTAGCACCGTTTTTAATACTTTCATTTCTGAACTATAATCTCTCGACTGATTCTTAAACTGTGATGAAAGTTTATGGGTGGCCCAGGAGGCAGATTAGGACTCAGGAGTGTAATGATTCTGCTACAGGAGATGGGGATAGAGAGGAGTTTCTTCCTTCCTTGGGGCAGTGTATTAATTCTCCGCAACGGACCCTGCATCTTCAGCAAAACTGTGCATTGCCCAGGAGACAGCAGCAAATATAGATCTGTGGGAGTTGATCCCTCAGCAGCTCCTCGTGTGTACAGGCACTGCTTCACACTACAGATGCAGCTCAACTCACAGTCATCAGCTGTAGGTTCTCTTCCACCTGCTGCACCATAGCTTCCAAGTCCCGGGCCTCCTTGGCTTCTTTTAGTTTGTGGTCCTGTACCATTCTTTCCAGTTCTTTTACCCTAGTTTAAAAGAAAGCAAAGAGTGTGCATTTGGCTGTGGGTGTTCTCTTCAACAAGCTTTTGTATTTTGGAGGATGTATCAGGCTTCTCTCATTGCTAAGCACATGTGAAGCCCCTTGAATACTCAGAAAGGCTAGGAAACCACAGGTATTGCCACAGCTACACTGGAGACATATTTTGTTGGACCTGTTTGAGAACATACCCGCATGTACTCGAAGGCAAGACTATATATTCCATTTGCGTGCAAATTACAGTCACATTCTATAATTTTTTTGCACAGACAACATGGTGGGGATTGTCTTATGTTCAGGATCATTTGAATAAACACAGTACCTGTTTGCCTGAGCTTCACAAACTGCTTGAAGGCAGCTGATCTTATTCTTCAACTTTGAACTGTCTTGTTTTAGCTACAAAAAAAGGAGCGAGAACACCCTCAACAGAAGTCTACCTCTGATCCGTATCACGTATGTGAGAACTGCTGGACAAAGCCCACCAGACAGAAACTAGGGATTGTGTAGTCCAGTATTCCATTTTCACTAATGGCTGATCAGACGCAGTTCACCTCAAAGCCTAGAGGCCCTATTTGGGTATCATGGCCAATAACCAACAATAGACCTATCTACCATACATCTGTCCAACCCCCTTTGAAATCCATCAGAGCTAGTAGCCATCATCACATCTTGAAGCAGTGAATTTGACAAATCAACTACCCATTTTGTAGCAGCAGAAAAAAGTAAGAGACTAGTAGCACCTTAAAGACTAACAAAATTTGTAGTAGGGTATGAGCTTTCATGAGTCACTGCTCACTTCTTCCATCCTGATCTATACCCATTTTGTGACACAGAACTTCCTTTTGTCAGTCCAGAATCTACTATCATGGTGACCCCAATTTCAAGTATTACAGGCAGAGAGTAAAGTTTCTATCCAGAAGATTTTGTAGATTCCTATCATGTTAAAACACCTAGATGCTTCAGCCTTACCTCAAACTACCTGTGTATACTGGCAGTACCCAAAACAATATGGTTAATCTGAGGCTAATTTAAAACTTCTAGTTCCCATATTTTAATGGACCATAACTGGTGAACATTCAACTAGCCAGGAGGTAGATTGGGGTTTAATTGATAGTGCCCATACGTTTTATGCTTTGTTTACAGTTGGGAAAACAAGAAATTTGTTTTGGAAAAAGAATGAAATCTGAAGTGCAGATTACTAGTTCTGCACCAGCCAAAGCTGCCAATTTTCACAGTCAACCCACAGCCTGGGCTGAAAATATAAGAGACACCAGCCTCTTAGCCAACTGGTTGTGAAAAACCAGGGATGACAAGAGAAGGGGGGGGGGTTTTCACTGTCCTTCCATTTCCTCATCTATTGCAAAGTTTAAAAGCAGTAGGAGGCTACAGAACACACCCAGAGGAATGGCTGGAAGGAGCCATTTTTAAGCTAGCTTGACTTCAGCCCTTGCCTAGCAGAAGATCACAGACAGGCATCTGGAGGAGTAAAACAATTTGCTACTGAGATTTCTGGCCATCACGGCTGGCTTGCAGAGAAACCCATTCTGGCCCTCTAGAGAAAAGGAAGGAAGGAAGTAAAAGAGTGTTGGCAATAAATCCTCTCACTTCTTCGTAGCTTGGCTGCAAAGGCTGATAAAAGCCATCTTCTACAGTCTCTTCATCAAGAGATAAGCTCTGGTCTCCTTTTCCAAGGGGGTCCTGTTGGTAACAGTCACTTTCTCTGAGCTGCCATGGTGAAGTAGTCAGGAGATCAGAGGAGTCACAGGAAAAAGAGTCAAAAGTGCTGCTGGGAACCCTGGCCAAGTGAGCCTCTTCCACAGCAGATGGCCGGTACGAGCCACTCCATCCATCCCCTTCGTCTTCCAGCAAAGAGCTTGTAGCTGTTGGGTCTGAGAAAAATAATTCCTGGCATTCCAAGCTCAGTCCTAACGATTTCGGGGATAAGGAATCATCGCCCAGCATTACAGAGCACCTGATGGACTCCTGAAGTGACAATAGAAAAAAGATCAGTCTTCATACTGGTATCGGATTTCATACCTTGTCACAAGCAACTTTACACTTTAATTGATAAGACTTTCTTTGCACACAGCCAAGAATGTATAATGTCTCCTTTTTATCCAATAGGGCAGTGTTGGCCTAAATCAGTGGCTCTCAGTATGTGGTTTGTGACTCAAAAGTGGGCTGTGAAACTCAAACATTTGAGAAGGGAAAAGAAACTCTGGGTCCTCTGATCCCCAACAGCCGAGGAATATTGGATTTATACTTTGCCCTTCACTCGGAGTGGCTTCCAATCTCCTTCCCTTCCCCTCCCCACAACAGACACCTTGTGAGGTAGGTGTGGCTGAGAGAGCTCCAAGAGAACTGTGACTGACCCAAGGCCACCCAGCTGGCTTCATGAGGAGTGGGGAAATCAAACCCGGTTCTCCAGATTAGAGTCCACCACTCTTAACCACTACAGCAAACTGGCTCTCAGGTGAAAAGGCAGTGGGCATTGCTTATGGCCCTGGTTACCAGACCCCCCTACTGCTGGCAACCTACAAGGCAAGCAATTCTTCCCCATCTGCACCCACAAGGGGCTCCACCTGCCCAAGTCCTTGCCAGACCTTTGCCTGAAGGCCAGTAAGGCCACAAGTGGTGCCACCCTTCTGTTGCCTGCAGGGGAGGATTCATAAAGGCTTCTCTTGAGGGAACACTCATCTTGCCAGTATTAAAAGGCATCTCCTCCACGCCTACCTACTCTTCCCCCCTTCCAGCCCAAAAGAGCAGGCTTCTCAGGACTGGAGGCCAAGCATGCCAGGGCACCGGCTACTCCACAAAGAAAACAAGCGGGCTTCACTTGCCTTGGGGTTGGCCATACTGCTGGCCCCAGGTCCACGCTGGCTCTGGCTCCGCACAAACTCCTTGAAGGAGAAGGGATTGGCCTCCTCGACAGCTCCATCTGAAAAGGAGGCGGCAGTGAGGTGTGGAGGTGCTCTGCACATGCCCAGAGGCAGGCAGGCAGACGGGGGGGTTGCAGACTGTCTCTCACGGGCCTGTCTGTTTCAAAGGAGCGCAAAAAGGGCACAGCAATCTAAATGAACAATGTTACAAAGAAATGCTGCCGTATGTTCATAAGTTTACAGAATTATGACAATAAACTGAAGACATTTCCATGATGTTTAAATCCCAATTGTCTTTTTTATTCCGTGGTTAAAGAAGTTGTGATTTTCTTGACAGCTATTCTTAGCCTTTCTGAAATACAGATTCCTTATAGTGGATTGCTTTGGAAAGAAAAAAGTCCAGCAAAACAGAATTTTGATAAAGACTGCGAAACGAACTCTGAAAACTCGAGATGTTCGTCATGCACTGATTAGATCTGTGGAATAAAGAAGACAATTGGGATTTAAACATCATGGAAATGTCTTCAGTTTATTGTCATAATTCTGTAAACTTATGAACATACAGCAGCATTCCTTTGTAACATGTTTCAAAGGAGCGAACAAAACGCGGCCCACTACTATCAAGCACTTATCCTCTGCCCCGCCCCCCGAAAGGCCTCAGGTGGACGCCCCCCCCTCCTCCTTCCCGGGGCTTCCTCTTCTCCCCCCGCCCCGGGAGGCCCGTGAAAACAGAGAGTGAGTATAAATGGGCAGTTCTCCCAGTGGAGGGGTGTAAGCAGTGGGGTACCACAGGGATCAGTACTTGGTCCACTGCTTTTTAACTTGTTCATTAATGATTTGGAGATGGGAGTAAGCAGTGAAGTGGCTAAATTTGCGGATGATACGAAGTTGTTCAGGGTGGTGAAAACCAGTGAGGATTGTGAGGCACTCCAAAGGGATCTGTCAAAGTTGGGCGAGTGGGCGTCAACATGGCAAATGGGGTTCAATGTGGCCAAGTGCAAGGTGATGCACATTGGAGCCAAAAATCCTAACTATAAATACACGTTGATGGGGTCTGAACTGGCAGAGACAGATCAAGAGAGAGATCTTGGAGTTGTAGTAGATAACTCACTGAAAATGTCGAGACAGTGTGTGACTGCAATAAAGAAGGCCAATGCTATGCTGGGGATTATTAGGAAGGGTATTGTAAACAGATCAGCCAATATCATAATGCCGCTATATAAATCAATGGTGCGACCTCATTTGGAATACTGTGTGCAGTTCTGGTCACCACACCTTAAAAAGGATATTATAGCTTTGGAAAAAGTGCAGAAAAGGGCAACTCGAATGATAAAAGGGTTGGAACACTTTCCCTATGAGGAACGGTTAAGGCGCTTAGGGCTCTTTAGCTTGGAGAAACGACGACTGAGGGGTGACATGATTGAGGTTTATAAGATTATGCATGGGATAGAGCAGGTCGAGAAAGAGGTACTTTTCTCCCTTTCTCACAATACAAGAACTCCTTGTGGGCACTCCATGAAATTACTGAGCGGTCAGGTTAGAACGAATAAAAGGAAGCACTTCTTCACCCAAAGAGTGATGAACACATGGAATTCACTGCCACAGGAAGTGGCGGCGGCTACAAGCATGGACAGCTTCAAAAGGGAATTAGATAAGCATATGGAGCAGAGGTCCATCAGTGGCTATTAGCCACAAGGTATAGATAGGGGCTCTGGGGCAAGTGATGCTCTGTACCTCTTGGTGCTTGGGGGGGGTCAACAGTGGGAGGGCTTCTAATGTCCTGGCCCCACTGCTGGACCTCCTGATGGCACCTGGTATTTCTGGCCACTGTGTGATACAGAGTGTTGGACTGGATGGGCCTTTGGCCTGATCCAACATTGGCATCTCTTATGTTCACGGAGGCCGCTGCGGATCAGCCTTTTTCTCCGGGGGGACTGACTTCCGGCATCTGGAGTTCAGGAAGGCTCCCGGCACTCCTTAGAGGCTGGCAGCCCTACCGGACATCCACGTGCGGGAGGCCCCTCTCGAGCTCTCGGGCTGCCATCACTTCGGAAGACCTTTCTGCCTTAGGGCTATGGCTGCCAGTCAGAGAGGGGACAGGACTGAACCACGTGGAATAATGTAAAGCAGTAGTTTGTACAGGCGCTATAGTCTCTGCATTTCACCAAGCAGGAAAAGAAAGGCTGTCTGTCTGGGCCCTTCGATCCCATTGCCGTCACTGCATCTCCAGTGATTACACATGCCTCACTCAGGGGCTTTGTCCTTGCTAACACATTTGTTTTCTTGCTCCAGGCTTGGACTGGTTGCCTACCGCAGTTACAGCAGTAGTGGGAGTAGCTACCCGAGCATTCCCCTGACAGCACCTCTGCCTGGGGTGCCAAAACCTCTCTTTGCAACTGTTGACACTCAGCAGGGATTCGAGACGAAGGTGACCACGCTTGAGAATGGACTGCAGGTGGCTTCACAGAATAAATTTGGCCAGTTCTGTACTGTTGGGAGTAAGTAGAACTCTGTTGCAGCCACTTACAGGGAATCCAAAAGAAAAACACTCAAACCTTGTCTTATATAAACTTTTAGTTTCTGTTTATGCAATAAATTGTATCAACATATTCTAGTGGTACAGTACAAACCAAACCAACTCTTATACTATTCAACAATAAAAACCCAAAGGTTGTTGGCTCATATCTTTTAGATGCCTAAAGTCAGATAAAACTAATAGATCTTTTAAATTTTGTGTACGTGAATATGCTATACGAGGTGGAATCTCACAGCCGGGTATGTCTGAGACCATATACCAATATCTCTGTATAATCTTCATTTTTCCCAGTGCTTGATAATCACAATGATGTTAGGGAGTCGACAGTCCTCCGCAGCACTTCTACATAAAACATTGTAAACAAAGGCACAATGATGTTAGGGAGTCGACAGTCCTCCGCAGCACTTCTACATAAAACATTGTAAACAAAGGCACATGTTATATTTAGCTCAAAATGACATTGCAATTTGCAATATAGTTTAATTATAGAAAATAGCTACCTTTACTTGATTTAATAAGGAACTTAGACAGCATTTCCCACCATTTCCAAGAGTGAAGTGTTTGCTGTTGCTAAATTGCAGATAGCACTTCCTGAACATCTCTCTTCTTAAAGGTGATACCAACAGGAGTATTTATTTGTATCATTAGAAACTGAGAACAACTACACTATTAAAACCTTACCTGTAAAGTTCCTATATTTTATATATAATTTACTTAACTAACCCCTACGAATTAAAACTACCAAGGTATAACTTTTACTGAATGTATATATTCAATCATTTTACACTATTCACAGAAAGCAAGAGAAGTCATTCATTAAATTCAGTCCTTTTGGATGCATTAAGTGAAAAATCATTTTAGTTTCCATCTGTAGCAGGTGTTTTTGAACATCCACATAAGAATTAGGTTTCCCCATGTATTTATATATATCCAGAAATTTCAAAGATTCAGGTGAATGATTCATATGCCTATAGTGTTCCACTAATGGGGCTTTTCTAATGTAATTTTTAATTCTCAAGATATGTTCAAGCACCCTTGTTTTAATAGCCCTTATTGTACTGTCAATGTATTTTTTTTCTACATTTACAAAGGACAAGATATATATATATTTCTTTGTGTTGCAGTTGCTGAAACCTTTTATGTCTATTCTATAAAAAGTGTCTGGATGTGTAAGTTTTCTAGTATTCAAAGCATATTTGCATGCTTTACAGGACCCACAACAATAAAAACCCAAAGGTTGTTGGCTCATATCTTTTAGATGCCTAAAGTCAGATAAAACTAATAGATCTTTTGAATTTTGTGTACGTGAATATGCTATACGAGGTGGAATCTCACAGCCTGGTATATCTGAGACCATATACCAATATCTCTGTATAATCTTCATGATGTTATTTGACAAATGGGTATACTTGAAGGAGCAGGTAAGATGTAGGCTTTGGTGCAGTATTAAGTAACTGTTACCTCTTTATGCTAACAGCTCGGGTTTGGGTTGACTGTAGTATAGAATTGGGATATCCCCTTAAAGTTGTTGTTCTATTTTAGTGATACAATTTATTGCTTAAACAGAAACTAAAAGTTTATATAAGACAAGGTTTGAGTGTTTTGTTACACAGTTGCTTTTCTTGTGAATTTCATACTCTACTATGTACCTTCTTGTTGGTTGTATGTGGTTTTATAGAGAGCAGATCAGACTTTGGGTCTCTGGTTGCTTTCAATTGATCTGTCTTCCTGAGGCTGGGCAAATTTTTGTCTTCCTTCAGCAGGTTTGAAAAATGGTACATATGTAACAGATCTTCCCATAGTAGATGGAAGGTTAGCTTTACATACATAGAAGCTCTTGAGTCTTGGTCCTGAGTACTGTGCTCAAACTGACTTGCAAGCCCGTAAGGCAAGGGGGATCTGAGCTTGCTTGCTGCTGTGCAGGGGCATTTCTGAGCTAGAGGCTCTGCCTGATGGTTCCCAAACCATGAGGACACTTGTTCTTTCAAGTATGGGCAAAAGCAGCATGAGGGTCTGATGAACCTAAAGTACCAGAAACTGTCGCCAGGAAATTTTTTGACAGGGGGCTTTGGGATTTGGGGGGCATCGTGGTGATGTCATCACGAGTGAAGAGGAGGCAGCATGGCAGCAAGTGCTGCCAGCCAGCGAGTCGGCTCTCAGAGAGCCAACTTGCTAGCTGGCACAGACACAGTGAGGCGTCGGGGTGGGCCAATAGAGAAGAGTGATGACTTGCTGGTTGGCTGGCACAGATGCAGTGAGGTGCCGGGGCAAGCTGCCCTGCTGCTTGACTGCCTCCTTGGCTCTCCAAGTAGATGTCTCACTGCTTTTGTGCCTGTCTGTCAGCCAGCAGGTTGGATTTTTGAGACCTCTCAGAGAGCTGACATGCTGGCTGGTGCAGATGCAGTGAGGCACCGGAGTGGGTCATTAGAGAATGGCCCGCCCTGGCACCTCACTGCATCTGTGCCAGCCAACCAGCGAGTCGGCTCTCTGAGAGCTCTTCTCTATTGGCCTGCCCCATTGCCTCTCTGCGTATGCATCAGCCAGCAAGTCTCCGAGAGCCAACTTGCTGGCTGGTGCTGGGGCTCACCAGGGACCTGCTGCCTGGTTGGCATTGGAGTTCCCCTTAATCGATGGGGGCACAGCCCCTAAAGCCCCACCACTGGCTATGGCCCGGAACTGGGGATGTGATCTTACAGTGATCAGTGTTTGGGAAACTCCTTGCATACAATTATTGCTCATCAAATAAAGAGGAAAAACAAGAAACCAGCCATGTTGTTATTATTATTATATGGATTTATATCCCGCCTTCCCTGCGAATGGTCTCAGGA